GCACACTAAAGGATGTCACAACAGTTGGAAACTGGGCTAATACCACTGTTTTGCACATCTTCATTACCCCATATTGAAAAGCGAGACTAATTTCTATGCACAAAGTTATGCATTGTCGAAATTTGTAAAAACAGAGGTCAAGAAAGTCACCTCATCTTTGGGGGAACAGACATAAAACAGAGTTCTTTTAACAATATTTGTTTATTTTGTTGACAAAGAGCTAAAAACAAACAAACATAACAAGGGACGAGTTTTTAAAAACAAGCAAATAACTTTTATTTATTATATAACACGATTTCCTTAACAACTTCCTCTCTAATAGTAACGTTTGAATGGATTCAGTCTTTTAAATTATAAATATAACGGCTGACCGAACCATCAAATCAATTTTAAGTTATTCAAGGCAAGGCAACTCGAAATCAAGCTTTTCTTTTTGAAAAATCGTTACCGATAGCTAAAATTAAATTCGCTCATGAAAAAATAATAACAAAGGACTTGGCTCAAGGCTTATTCGACCTTTGGATCTGTCAGCTTAACAGAGCCCTCTTCACCTAAAGCACCATTTCCATTTTTGTTTTGGGTTTTTGAATTAACCTTTGAACTTTTTTCGGGGTAGGAAGTGTCCGTTACTGAGTTCTGAGTTTTTAGATAGTTATTTTGAACGTTCGAAGGATTACTTTCACAACTGATATTGTTCTTGATTTGTCCTTCCTTAGCCTCGGAATTCACAATTTCATTGATAATGGAACTGTCTAATTTTCGTTTTTTCGGAATATTCATTTCGCATTTTTCAGCTTGTCTTTTCCTGTCATTTTGATTTTGAGTTGTTACACGGTTTGTCGTATTCAAAAGCACAGGGGATTCGACAGAGTTTTCTGAATTCTTATACGAATTCATAATTTTTCTTACTTCGTCCTTTTTTGTTCTCATGACGATTTCACCTCGTTTTTCATTACGGAACACTGGGCTTAGCGGACTGGTTGGGCTAGTGGGGCTTAAAGACGATATACTGCCACTGTTAGGACTGAGGGAACTTACACTTCCGCTGCTTTTCATTTTCGAGTCGTTTCGTTCATTTATTTGTTTCACAATAACGTCAATGGCTTTTTGTTTCTTTGTACGAACACTGAAATTATCAATATCACCATTTCGTTTCGCAATGTTATTCACGATGGATGGAACGGGGGTAGTATTGTGATACATGTTTTGCTCTGTGGATACACATATTTGCAGTTCGCGGTCAATTGGGCAAGTGGTCGAAACACTTTCAGTCTTGTTGGCCATTTTGGCAACATCAGTTTTCCCTTCGTCATTTGTAACAATTTTCTTAGTGTCTGGAACTTTCACATCAAAGATTTTATTTTCCATCTTTTTGCCGCTAAAATTGTTATTTCTAATGGAATTGTTAATGTTTTCATTTTTCACCATTTTGACTACATTATGGTCTCTTACAGCACTGTCGTCATTTTTTGTAGACTTTTTGTTTTCTAGCTCCGATTGGATTTTTTTCTCAGATGCTTGACTTTTCAGGGTATTGTCGTTGGCGTTATCGATTTTACTATCTTCAATGGTTATGCTCTGAATCTTATTCAGTGCTTTATCCTCTGTCACTTTATTGCCCATTGCTTGTTCAACTTTCTTCTTACCTAATCTAATGTCTTTAGTTGGTCCAACCAAAGTCATGTCGCTTTTCTTATGTTCAAAAAAAGACCTGTGGCTGTCCTGACTGACAGCTGCTACTCTTTCAGTTGATTTCGAATTGACGTTTTCAACAGTTGCGATCTTAATAACGTCGCCTGGAGATTTCTTTACATCCGTCGTATTCGCTTTCGTCACTGTAACTTCACATTTATCAGAGAGAATGGTATCATCTTTATTGATTTCATCAGCTTTTACATCATTGTCTTTGACTGTAGATTTGACGTCACATTTGACGTCATTAGCGTCAACAATATTTTGGTTAACCGTTTGCCCTTTGTCAATTTTCTTTTTTTCGTGCGATTGGTCTTCTCCTTTTAAGATATTACTTTCGTCAATAAGGGTATTTTCGTTTCGCTTATTAGAGGTCTTCTCACTATCCTTATTGCGTTCGCCATCAATGTGAGAACTAAGTCCCGCCATAGCACCACTTTGGTCGTTTTCGTTGATTCGTCCCAGTTCCGATTTTCCTTCATTTTGTTTTCCAGGTACAACTTTAGAGCCTTCAGTACTTATTGTTTTAGTGGATAGGGAACTAGTAACATAGTTTTCACTTAAAATCTTTCCAGTGCTTTCTGGCTTCTTATGATCGTCTGGAACATTTTTGGTGATGCTTGGGGACAAAGATTTTGTTTTAATTTTAGAACATTTTTGTTTCAAATACTCCCAGTTTTTAAAATCTAGTTTCTTTTCAATAGGTTTGGTCTCGGATGATGAGGCTTTGCTTTGGATCAATGTGCTTCTTTTAGGATTCAGCCAACTCTTCTCTTGCTGTTTTCCAGAAGGTGTGACGGGCTCAGAAAGTTTGGTACCTTTCGATAACTCAAGGAGACCAATTACAGCGTCCTCATCATCTAGTCTTTTCTGATAATCAGGTTTTACCGACAGACTTGCCTGGGAAGACGACGTCTTGTGGTTAAGTGGAATATCAGAAATACTCTTTGATGAAGTGATATTGTTGTTTAACGCTGGCTGTGATGGAACTGTGGCAGTGGTTTGTAATAGTGGCAGTACTTTGTTTGATTTGTTGACGTGTTCGTTTGTTATGTTTATCTGTCTGGACTGCTTACTGTTCTGTGGTTTAGATTTGGATTTGTCTGTGTCTCTACTTATTTGTTTTGGTAGATGGGGAAGTACATCACTTTGCTTTGATTTTTGTTTTGGGGTAGCGGATTTTTGTTTTGCACTTTGATCTTCTTTTGAATTCATCATATCAGCTTTAGGTATAGCTTTCTTCCGACCTCTATTGGATGGGTTGGTTTGTTTGGTTGGTGTGGATGACTGTTTTGGTGCACTTGATTTTATTGTACTATTCATTGTTGAAGACGATTTACTTGGACTGTCTGATAGTATCTGATTTTGCTGTAAATTGGTAGCAGTAGAGTAGGCAACGGGAGTACGATTGATTTTTACTGTGGGTGTATTATTTGATAAATGCGAATAAACTGGAGTTTTTTCTGGCATGATTGTGCTTGGTGGCTTCGTTTTGGTGGAAATTTGTGTCAATCTGAAAGGTTTGCTTGGTGATGTTTGAATGTTACTGGGTGTAGTCTTTGGTTTGTCAACAAGGGTAGTGTTGCTAGTAAATTTTTTCTCAATCTCCGATTCCTCATCTGTTAAATGTGGTTTCCAAATTTTAAATTTCTTGACAGAATTGGTAGTATCTGATGTAGATGATGAGTTAACACTTGCACTTATACACTGATTGTTTACTAAGGCTCCATGTGGTTTGTTCGAATCTGGGGCGTTCGAATTCTTGGTTTTCAATGAATCACAGTTTTTGGTTAGTTTATCGAGATGAGAAGATTGTTCTTGTTTTACAATCAAAATCTTCTCTGGATCACATTTAGTTGTAGAAAGAACTGACTTTAAAATCACATCATTGAGTCTATTGTAGGGCATATGCATGTTAAAATCAACTTTGGATTCATGTGGATCGGTGCACAATTCCGGCTTGACGTCATTAGTTTTAATGTTATTTCCAGGCCGAATAATTGTATAGTTCTTCTTCTCTTTAGGACGTTTCGGTAAGGAAACAACCTTTGATCGCACACCAGTGTCGTCACTAAAATCAAAAATATCACTCTTGCGTTCGTTTTTGACACTGTTTAACACATTAGTGCAAGTTTTATCTATTTTAAGTAGCTTCATTGAGTCCACAATCTTTGTGTCATTTAATAACTGTGAATCGTTATGTTTGCTCTTTTTTGACGATTTTGAATAAATATCTAATTTAGAGAGTTTCGGTTTCACAAAATGATCGCTGAGGCGCGTCAGTTTATGTTTTCCATTCATTGGAGTTCGCGGTTTTATAAATACGCCCGATTTCTTTGAACGGGGTGAATCTTTCCATCTAATTCGTGGTCGCTCATCCACAGACGAGTCACTGTCAGAATTATTGCGTTTTACACAATTTTCATTGACGTCACGAATAATAGTGCACTTATCGGTAATTGCATTGTCCGTATCACTGTCATCAAAGTATTTAGGAGACCGAGCAGAGCCTATTTTTATTGGCGATTCGGACGCTGTAAAGTCTAATAGATTGGCTAATTTCCTTTCCTGTCTCGCCTTACATTCACTTATACGACGTCTACGACCTTCCGGTGTGGTGATGACGTCAGCAGCTTTGGGTGGAGACTGACAGATGATATAAAACAATCGTAATGGTTCCGTCTGAAAAGAGAATTTAAAATTGTTGCGGAAAGATGGACTACATGAAAAGAAACACTGTAGTTATTATTCATTCAATGTCCTATTTCAACTTAATTCAAGAACAAAATAAGCGGGTCAGAGTCATTTTGACATTTTAACTAATGGATGATATACTTTTCACTCAGGAAATCCGTTGTCTGTTTTATTTATTGTATCAACATCTAAACAAAATCATTTAATATGAGGTCCCAGAAGCTGATCAAAAATTTTCGGTTTTCTTTTTTCTTTATGCACTGTGCATGTCGAGGTTCTGCAGTCATCTATCCTCAAACCAAAGCACATCACTTATAAGTTGATGTATTGTGTATACAATTTAAAATAATATAGTACGTTTTGTCAGATTGCTAATTAACATTACTGTCAACAGAATGCTCCACAGACGACTATCGAGGGATTGAGAATACAGGCTTGTGATAAACTAAGCTCTTACTTTATCAGCAGACCCATGGTTAAAATAAATAGTATGACAACCTTGACTATTAAAAAAGGCCTATTATAATCTTAACCTGTTCTATATCTTTTTAACATTTTACAGTATTGAGGATTCCTCATAAACGAGGTAAGCTAAGTATTTTCCAATCAAAAAGTTAGGCTTGGACCCCAGGCTCACCCCGTATATTAGCCCTGATATGATAACTCACCCGTCTCCAAGTGTAGAGATTAGCGATATCATGTAGTGATAAATTATTTGATAATTCTACACGACTATGATAAAACTGAATCTGGAAAAAAAAGATATAAAAATAAGGTCATGCAATGTGGTATAGGACAGTAAGGGTCATAAAATAAGCATTAAAAGCAAGAAATGAGATTAGATGGTAATGTCTGTAAATTACGCAACTATCATAATTATTATTACATGTAAGAAAAAACTTACAAAGAGATGAATCATAGCCTTTGAATAAATCCGAACGTTTCCTTCAATTTGCATGTAATGGTGAATGATAAATTTCAATAAAAAAATGCAATACATCGGAACAAATACTGAAACATTGGTAGTTCATTTCCATTTTCTAATATGTATCGCTATACACAACTGTTAAACCACCTGTTACTTACCTTGAATTTTGAAGGCACTGAAAATTTGACAGTAATAAATTTTTTAAGGTGACCAACAGTTACACCACTAGGACATAATAAATATCTTTTATCGCTTATCTGCAAAAAAAAATTACGAAATATATTCAATTATTGCAGAGTTATTAGCATCATTGGCAGGATTTTCATTTATTTTTACTCCGAATTAATACAGATGTAGCTAATTTGTGTTTATCTTCAGGTTACTAGGTTACTACATTTGCTATCCATGATCTGACGAGATTATAATTTTTTTGTCAATTTTGTTCTGTGAGGTTTTAATAATGTATGTATGTTGATATGTAAATAGTGGTTAGACAATACAAGACAATGTTGAATAATGAATTTTCCTAAACTGAACTCCTCATATAACGTAAGAAAATTGAACAACATTTGATTGGAAGAATATTAAGATGCATTATAATTATTTTGTCAGATCGTGGATGGCAATTTGAGAGACAAAATATAAAACGAATCAGTCAGATTTGTATTTTAAGGGACAGTTGCGCCATGTGTCGTGTTCTACAGGTTGTCATGAAAAACGAAAGATAAGGCGGAATGTAAAACATGTCTCTGTGACAGTTAACCCCTTGTATAGTGCAAATTTATTTACATTTTACGAGCGGTGCAACATCTAGGAATTATCTTTCCACAATAACTTTTTATATTTTTGTGAGCATTTGCAGAAGTCTTATAATAATAAATCAGAAACATGATTGAAAAAAAAAATCATATTTACCTTTGCTTTTTGGGACTCGGGAGGATGCCCACTGAAATGAAACAAATATTATTTAGTCTATTTGTATGTAAGTAAATACAAAAACTAACGATTGAACATAAGATGTTTAATTTGTCTACAGTCATGTGGGGTTCGAAAATGACACCAAACATAAATCGCATAGATATACTTAACATTTTCCAAAATATGCTTCATCGTTTGCATTTATAGTGAACGAAATATTCCAAAGTGCACATATACACATTATTGATAAAAAAAAAATTACAATTATTCTTACTTAGCACTAAGTTCCAGAACCAAACTGATTTGTTCTTCTTCAACCTCCTCGGATTTTTCCATACACGCTTCACCTCGATCTTCTAAAGTAGCGTCTTCACATTCTTCAGGATGTTCGCCATAAAACTTTCTCCTGTTGGCCATCTCAGATTCAAATAACCCCGGTACAAGTTTATATACCAAATCTTGTAAGGTTTTATCAGCTCTGTAGACCAAAAAATACATTATCAATACAAACTGATATGAAATGGAGTTTTACGTCTTAGTTTTCTGCCTCTGCTCGCAGAAGGAAATGTTATGATAACAATTTTGTCATGATGTAAAAAGGTGAATGAAATGAGGAATATGATAATTAATGCCATTAAAGATGATTTTCATTATTTTTTAGTGTCAAATTTAGCAATCAATGTGATTAATTGGTGTTTCTAATGAATTATCATGTATTCTTAATCATATCATTATAAATCTTATCATATGTAATTAAGAGTCTTAACCAATCATAAATGTCCATGTATATACAGCCTGGATAAACAAAAAAAGAGTTTTTGACCTTTCTTGATCGGTCACTTATTGGAATTCTGATGGTAATTCTCTTCTAATTTAGCGAATTGTGAATTAATTATGGACATGTGAGACAAACTAGTATTTTTCCCAGTCATTAGAACACCACCACTTTCTATTCATATAAGTATTACCATTTTAATTTTGGTAAATGACAATAAGGAAACCCTTCTTTAATACCTAGTAGGCACATCCACCTCTGTTGTTTGTATAAAATAAGCCTTCGCGTGAACATGCAATTAAATACAATTGACCAAGGTGATAGTTTAGTTAAAACAATATCAAACATTACCTGAGATTTTCCAATGGTTTTGTTTTGTGGACCAGGACATCGCAGAGGGGACACATCTTACTGGTTTCAAGATATCTTACAATACAGGTCCGGCAGTCTGAAATACAGCAAACAACCACATTTTATTTCTAACATTTAATATCGTACGATAATTTTTACAATAAATTTATGTATAATAATATGTAATGTATAATTGCACATAGATTTACACTAACTATTACCATTTCATGTTATGTTCACCTCACTTTAGTGAATATGATTATACAAAAAAAAGAAAACTGTGAAAGCCTATAAATATTTTTTGTTGTTATTATTCTTATTTTTTTTTTACATGTTAGAAGTCTAGAAATTGTTATAGCTAAGTTCCTACATTCAATTTCCCTAAGCCAAATTCGAAAGCAGCAATATTATACAGTGGTGTAACCTATATTCGTGCATATAAGGATTCAACATCGAATTTCGTCAAAATTAAAAGAACGCAAATTTTTTTTGTATGTCTTAGAGGTTTCCCAAGATATTCTACAATTCCTTCAAAGAACAATAATTTAGAAAAAATGTGACTGACAAAATTAGATAAGTAAAACGTAAGAGTGATTTAATGCTAAAATTCATTGAAACAACATAAGAATATGGCCTACATTGTGTTGCATAGAATTTTCTGCTGACACGGAATCCCCAGTTTTATCACGTGACTTCGTTCATAAGCTATATTCTAGCAGACGACACTTGGAATTCCGATTACATCTTGGGATTATAAGGAAATTCGGCCGATAGAATATTATTACATTTGGTAATAACTGAAATGCGCAATTTTGTATTTGTCAAAGCATACGTTAATACATTTTACCTTGCTTGAAACTACTGGATTCATTCTACTAGCTGACATTGAAGAGATAACCCATGTCAATTATTAATCATTCTCGGAGATACACGAAAAATAGGTTAGCACGAAATTAGGTTACTTGACTGTACTAAATAAATCATTATGTTACATGTGTCTAAATAGATAAATAAATCGCAAATGCTCCATTATTAAACGTAAATAACATGATATTATTATGCAAGTTAATTTAATTACAATCGATGTCTGAGAACAGAAATCAATTCTGATCCATCAATGACACAAGTTTTGATGGACATAAATAATTGGTAAAAAATGAATTATATAACAGAATTCCCACAATTTTACGTATACTATCAAGGTATCCTGAGCATATCTTGAGGAGGCTACACAACAATTGATTCACAAAAATGACTGGCCGCTCCAATCTGTTGACTGTAATCCACTGGAGTGTGCCATTTGAGATTCTCCTAAGGAAAAGGTGCAGCGGGTCAGCGGGACAAACTGACTGAACAGGAACTGAAAGGCAGGATAGTCGCTTCTTAGGAGCAGAACTTTTAGATGAGATCCGGAACAGCCTCTCAGGATGGTGGTCGAAGAAGACACATTGAACACAGATTGAAATATGTAAGTTTCCGTGATATTGGATTTTATTTATTTTGTTCGGGTCAGTACTAGTACAATTTTTATTGCATTACTTCCATATTTTCTGGATTGGACAACGACATCTTGAAGTATATCTGTGAGAATTTTGAAAGAGATCAGTTTACCAACAGCTGAGATACTACCCGTCGAACTTTGGGACGTTTTTTGCGGAACCCCCAAGTTCTTTTTTTTTTTTCTGTTAAACCCGATATATTAAGGTTTTGGGGTTTTTTTGCCTTAGAAAACAGTTTACACAAGATATCCTCGCTAATCCTCCCAAGATATTTCAGCAGGTCAAAAAGAACTTTGTCATATAGCAGTTCCAAGCCACACTGGACAATAATGAAGCAAACATGTAGATCTAAGGTCTAATCACTATGGTCTATGATCATGGGGAGTTTTTAATATCTAAACAAGTAATAATACGTACAGGAATGTAGACATTCTATTATAGTTGTGGCATCCACAAAATATCCACCACATAAAACACATAGCAGATGTGGATTTACCTCTGTTACTGGTATCCGACCCTTCCTTAACATCTTAGCTGTAATAGAGAAATACATACATCAAACATAAATTTGATAAGTGGTTGCCTAACAAGATATGCCCACTTCCCTGTTAAGTTATATCAAGGTCGGTCGCCTATCTATGTCAAATTGTACCAAAAAATCTATTTCGTCCAAGATATAGTTAAAACAAACAAATAAAATTTCATTGACATAAACTGAACTGTCACCTCTATCGCGTTCACAAACAACATTTAACATAATATGTTATGCATATATTATAGCGTTCACATACAAATTTTGACACATTTACTAAGTCAAGGGCAAAAACTCAAAAAACGTTCATCGAAAAATCATAAAAACTCGTACTTGATCAAGTTCTCATCTATTTAATGATGACACCGAATTTCATTAAAATCAGATAAAAACTGTCTTTATTGTGTTCACAAGCCAATTGTGGACGGACCGACGGACGGACGGACAGGGGCGACGACATTAGACGCCCACATTATGATAATGCGTATAACAATGCTCCTATGTTCTTATACCTTAAAATAGATATCACACAAAAAAGCGAGGAGCATGATGAACATAACACAAACTTTGCATCCAGATAGCGGTTTGTTCAGAGATGCAAGTTTAATGAATAAATTAGCTAAATGATCGATTCCACCACTATCTAGAACTTTAACGACCGATATTAACCTGACACAGAACCTTAACGACCGATATCACCCAGATTCGGAACCCTAAAGACCGATATTAACCTGATTCAGAGCCTTGCTGATCGATATTAGCCTTCTCCAGAAATTTAACGATCGATATCCAGAACCTTCAAACTAAATATCACCATAATCTTGAAACGTAACGATCGCTATCACCAGATCCGGAAAATATCGATAACCGTTTGCAACGACGATTATTATATAAATAGAAATATATATCATAATGAGTAAATAATAACATAAGAGATGTTATGACTAAGTGATAAATATAGATAGAAAATAGTTTTTCACATAATGGCTCTGTTGGATATCAACAGGATATATCATCAACTGTAAACAATGTCTATCATAATAAGTAAAGAGTCACAAAATCATTATGGAAAATCAACGCAGGCAAATAAATTGCGCACGTGGATATCAGTTTTGAGTTATATTTTACTACATAAAGCAAATTCAATCAGGGTCATATATTATATTTTCTCTGTGGAATTAATAGATAGTTTAATTTATATAGTTTCGTCAACACTTTCAAAGTGGGTCAGTATATGTGCAAAGCGTTCGGTTCAATACTTTGAGCAATAAAACAAAGGCGAAGCGAAGAGTAACTACAACAATTTTTGTCGGAGATAAAAGTGATGGGGTAAACCTAAAAATAAGTCACATCTACATGTATTTGTGATAACATTGTTTTCGCACAACGAACATGTAAACACATAGATGTACATATATGTATTCAAATACACAACGCATAAACATAAATATGATTATACCGCGTTTCCACTGAGAATTGCTTAGCTTAGAGCCAGAACGCATTACGTTTACGTAATCGTTCCCGAACGATTTTACCCTCCATCTTTAAGTCGCACATTATTGACAACTACCGTTTGGGCCATAGAGAAAAGCAAAAAACCGGAAAGACCAGTACGCCCCTATTGCCGAACGAGATAAAGCTGGCTTCTTGCGTTTCCACTGAGTAAAGTTTGCTGAACACAAAAAGACAGGCTTTCAGTTCCCGAACCGTAACGCTTCGACAATTGGCCCAGTGGAAACGTACGAAAGCTAGCGTAAAGCCGGCTTTTACCCTCAGTGGAAACACAGTTTATTATGTGCAACCCTATACTCGTAGAAATATACAAATAAACAAACATGAAATATGGCATATTTAAATATTAACAGAATAATAATATGTTATTCTTTGTGCTTGTATATGGATTATTTATTGAGTTAACTGTTCATTCTTAAATTTTATTTGAAATCATAATTATGAATCTACAATACTAATAGTCAGCTGTTTTTGTTTTAGTTTGACGTAATATATTTATCTGTTAAGGGTCATGACCTGAAGCTGACTGACCTCAGACAACTGACCGTTGACCAGAGTCCAACAATGACCCCATCTGTTGTCAACAATGACACTGAGTTACAATGGTGGCTGTTGACAGTTTAGAAATAATATTGTCACATGAGACCAACTATTCTTGGCTTTATTTAACTACAGTGATATTTTTTATACTATAAACTATCATATTTTCGAGTCTTTCCTTGATTAAATTGAAATTATAATTTGATTTAAGGTTTTAGGTATCAAATATCAATTAGACTATTTTCAATGACATTTTTGATTTTTGTACACTGACATAAATTAATGATAAACGAATAACTAGTTATTTTGCACTAATAATTTCAATTAAATCTGTATATTTACATAAAGTTATAAACTTCCTAATAAACAACTGACATCAACCAAAATGTATCTGTTAAAATGGTATGGAATGAAATAGCGCATATATATTTGGATTTTACATTATTTTGGAACAATGTATTCGATTAATAGTAGAAAAAAAGCTAAGGAAAAATTATCACCTAAAAAATTTGATATTCGTAATCTGTTTTTGGAAATGATAATTTTTCAAAGCAATTGAGCACTATACCATCAAAAATTAGTGTTCTTTTCCTACTTGCTTCGACACAAATCTTTTAATTAATGTTAGAGTTCCATACTTTTGTCCGCCAGTGGATTGTGAAATATTGATAGCCAGCATTGTACATATAGGCCTAATATTAGTATATTTCAAAGACTATAGATTGCTCTGTAATTTCAAAATATCAAGTTAGGTTAAATTTATTATTACATCAACTTGTCGAGAAGTCTATAAATATCTAGTATCAGTTGTATAATTAATTATAGGAGTTTTTATTGGACATCGTCAAATATTGAAACCTGATTATTTTGTTATAGTGTAGATTAGACGTAGTTTATCATAAATCAATGAGGAATAAATTTAAAATAAACTACATGTACATAATTTCACTCTTCAGTAATACTGCGAGGTTATAATTATTCTGGTACTAGTAAATATATGATCTTCATGCAGTTGAGCACTTTTTGAAAACTGAAACAATGTGTGTTGTTATAACTGTCTGCACTGATATGTATATTTAATTTCTTTTTCGTCATGATTGTGTTGAGCAAACCCTTACCAATGGATCTCAAGCATCAAAACCCAAACAACAACTGGATTATACAAAAATATTAAGTTATTAAGGTAAAATACATTGTATCTATAATGTTTCTTTACTGCATGACTATAAAATAATTTATAATTTTAAGTAAAAAAAATCTTGTAAAATTTAGCTGCATGGATATGATAATAAAAGTGTGTTTTATTGTCGAATTATTGCATATTATTCGGATATAGTAAGTGTCAAATATGCTTGTGTGGATACATGTAAGTATAATGCTCGTTAATTCATACAAATTTAATCTAAAATCTGACTCGCATTGAATGGAAAACCTTTATTTTATTATAATAAATTACATCATTTATAATTAATGACTCTGGGCTGACTATATATCCAATACTATGAATACGACATTCAATAAAATACAATATATATGTACAAATAATATTTATAATTAATTTAACTATCACAATGCAAAATGATAATCAGATGACCCCAGTCATAAGATCACATTTTCGTATAAGAACAACATATTTGCATATCTCTGATTTTTCAACATTTCTCATCGGTATTCTAGTATATCATGAATTTTAGATTATTATTTTATGAGGTGACTCATTTATTGTGACTTAGCCTATTACTTAAAAACAAAAAACATTAGATTTCAAAATCAAGATAATAGTAAAAAATATATCATTTCAGAGCAGAAATGCATTTCTTTTAGAAAAATATCAATTAAGTTGACTATGACATACTATAAAAAAGAGACACGGATTGGTTAAATAATGTTATATGACCTAGATTTGAGCCAATCAAAAAGCTAGAAATATGATAGGCTGATATTTAAAAAGATATGAAAAAGACACCTGTCTTTACATGGTTTTATTTTCACAATCTCTAAATCTATTTACATAACAACTAGCCGTAGAACACTGAACATTTATCAACCAATTCACATTTACTGGGTAAATAGCTATAACTTTATGGTTTATATTTCGTACATCACTGTATTTTAAAGTTCGGTAGGCAGTGGTTGTTTGCAAAAATTAAGGCTCTTCGGCCAATGTAGCGTAAAACACGGACCCTTTGAATAATTGTAAAGTATGCAATTTGTTTGAAGAAAGAATTGCTCTACAGGGAATATTACCTGAAAGAAATCTTTTGTTTGGCCTATCTCCAGTTTTGTTTCAGGAAAAAACTTCTTAATTAAGCTCTCATAAATTGCCATAAAGGTACATGTAGAGTGAAACAATGCTCCTGAATGTGAAACAAAATTGTCGATATGACAATATGCCATAATTCAAAATTGATAAATTCAGGTTCCGTTGAATAAAATCTTGAGACTCATGTAATAAATGATTTAGTCACCAGTTCCTCTGTAATTACTTTACTCAGAGATTATAGAATATGATAACGATCTTATTATATATTTGTTCTTCCTGGTTATTCGGAAGGGCAACTTTCTGTTTCGGATATTAGTCTTTGATAGTTTACATACATTGCGTAAGATCTATTTTTAAAAACATTAAATTATTAATCAATAGTATATATAATTAGAGCCGATAAAATAGTTATAGGCTATGGTTCACCATTTGGGGCATGAAAATATGTATATCGTCTTCAAAAGTACCAGAACTGTACGAAAATCGCATAAAAAGTGTTAGTCTCGTTGATAAGGATAATTATGAATACACATGTACACTGATTGGTTTGTTGAACTATCCCCGGTTCAGAATTCAAGGTACGATTGACCACCGATAATGGTAAACCATAGACCCTAATAACATTGCTCAATGCTGTAATCTCATTGCCACCAATTATAACAGAACCCTTTCATTCAAATTG